TTTTGCATACAGAACTGGGATACAGGCCAGACGTGCAGGGGCCATGAGAGGCTTCACCAGAGACAGAGTGGGGAGCAGAACAGGCGGATCTACAAAGCACACTGCTGAGGGGAGCAGTGAGTTGGTCAGGAGAGGTCTGCTGCACCATGTGGTCACCTCCGGGGCAGGCAGGGATGGAACTCATGCTGAAGTGGCTTTAGCTTCTTAATGCTGTGCTTTAACCTGCTGCGCCACCAGGGAGGGCTTTTTTTTTTTTTTTTTTTGCATACAGAGCTGGGGTACAGGCTAGAGGTACAGGGGCAGTGAGCAGATTCACCAGACACAGAGTGGGGAGCAGAACAGGCTGACTGACAAAGTATACTGCTGAGGGGAGCAGCGGGCGGCTCAGGAGAGGTCTGCTGAGCCATGTGGATCACCTCTGGGGTAGGGATCAAACTCATGCTGAAATGGCTTTAGCTTATTAGTGCTGTGCTTTAACCCACTGCACTACCAGGGAGGGCCTGGAATTCTTTCAATACTCTGTTCCCTCATTCCCTACCATCTGTTTTCTAAATTTTGTTTTCCTAGTTTATCTTGATTTCCCTAGTTTTTATTTTTAAAGACTTTCCCCAAATACCTGTTCATTCTTATGCATTTTCATATTTTGTTCTTCCTTCCCTTTTTTTCCATTCATATTTGAGAGAGTTACTGAAGTTGATTGGGCATATATTTTTTTTTTTTTTTTAAGATTTATTTATTCATACAGAACTGGGGTACAGGCCAGAGGCTCAGGGGTGGTGAGAGGCTTCACCAGAGACAGAGTGGGGAGCAGAACAGGCAGATTGACGAAGTACACTGCTGAGGGGAGCAGCGGGCGGGTCAGGAGAGGTCTGGCTCGCCATGTGGTCTCCTCCGGGGCAGGCAGCAGGCGGGAATCGAACTCATGCGGAAGTGGCCTCAGATTCTCAGTGCTGCGCTTCAACCCGCTGCACCACCAGGGAGGGCCGGGCATATATTTTTTAAAGTTTTATTTATTTATGCATACAGAATTGGGGTACAAGCCAGAGGTGCAGGGGCAGTGAGAGAATTTACCAAAGACAGGACAGGCAGATCGATAAAGTACACTGTTGAGGGGAGCAGCGAGCAGGTCAGGAAAGGTCTGCAGCGCCATGTGGGTTACCTCCAGGTATTGAACTCGCACTGAAGTGGCTGCACTAGCTTGCAGTGCTACTGCTTTAACCCGTTGCCCCACCAGGGAGGGCCATGATTGGGCATATTTTGTGGCCCGGACTTGTCAACTGGTAGCTTTTAGGAGGGATTTATGTTCACTAGGTGGGCATAATTTAGAAGAATACTTCTGGATGTGCAACCTTGTAGTCTTTTGCTTGAAGTAGATGTGTGTCCACCTAGGTTCTGCTTAAAGAGTTGGAGAGTAATGTGCTTTTTGACTGGATGATGTGTTCTTCATGTAGGCTTTTGGTTAATCTCTGTTTTTAGCCTTGTCATTCCTTACAATGTCCAATATACTTAGGATCTTGGAACGAACTCAGAGCCTCTCCCAAGTAATGCCCAACAAATTACCTCCTCAATTTCTGTACCCCTTTAACCTATGACTTCACTTGGTTGTTCCATTAATTACCATTCCTTGATTCACTGTCATTTTCTTACATGAATGAATATTCTTTTCTGTTGGAAGCCTCATTACTTTTCTTGTTATCAGTGTGTGTTTATATAATGTTTATTCACTGAACTTCTAGTGGAGACTCAGGAGAGAAGCTGGGAGAAAAATAGTCTGTGTTCATTTTTACTTCTCTGGAATGTTTGCAACTTACAGGTTTTACTTACCATTGTGCTATGGACATAATGGATTTGCCTTGTTCCTACATATAATTCCATGTAGGAATATAACATAACTTAAAGTTTTATTAAGGAAGTTTCTACTTTTAAATCTTGCATTCCTATAATAAGCACTCAGCACCTCTATAGGTGACAGGATAGGATATTATGTTTCATTGTTTAACTTTTCCACTTTAATATAGTAATATAATTGTTCTTTTTTATTAGACTCTTCTTGTTTCATTTTGGTATCATAATTATGCATTTTTAAGATGACATGGAAAACTATGTGTTTTTTCTGAATTCTAGGACAGTTTAATTTTCAACCAAGGCAGTTTTGCTTCCCATAGGACATTGGAAATATATGCAGATAGTTTAACTGTCACAATGACTTGTGTGGGGGTGTTCTTGGTATTTTTGGGGTGAAGGGATTATTACTAGAAATCCTACAGTGTCAGGGTAGTCCCCAATAACACAAAATTATCTGGTCCAAAATCTCAGAGTTCTTTGGGTGAAAGCACCTCATAAACAAACAAGCCTGATCTGTTTTGGGGATAAGAGTCTCTGACTGTCTTTTGTCTTCCATGTATTATTCTATTCAAATTTCCACTTCTATCAATTTTAGTGACTTTAGAGTCTAAACAAATAATCAAGCTATTACAGGAACTATTTATATTTTATCTTTATGTTTATAAATCTGTTTATTTCTAAAGTAAATTTTTTACCTTGATTGCTTGTCATAGGCTTGTTTTACTGGTCTTTTGAAAGAATCAACTTGAAGTTCTATTTTTTAAATAATGTTTTCTAATATTTTCTTTTTTATGTATTGTTCATGTCATAATTGCTTCTCTTTTTTCATTTTATTTTGCTTTTTGGATTATTGGCCTAGTGAGATTTAAAGTGCTTTGTAATCAAGCATATTAGGGTAATCCCCGCGGGTTTCCCATCACCAAGTCACCCATGTGCCATCACCATAATCCCATGCATTTCCCTCCCCGTTTTTGATCCCATCCCCACTCTACCCCCACAAAATGTCTCTGGTATATGGTTGTTCATTATTTTTGTTATTTTCTCGCCTAGTCCATTATACTCCTGCTATGAGTGAAACCATCCGGTACTTTTCTTTCTCTTTCTGGACTATCTCACTAAGCATGATCTTTTCCAGCTCCATCCAAGTTGCTGCAAAACACATGTGTTTCTCTTTTTTTGGTTGCTGAGTAATATTCCATTGTATATATGTACCACATCTTTTTTATCCAGTCATCTACTTTTGGGCATTTGGGCTGCTTCCATGTCTTTCCAATTGTAAATAAAGCAGCAATAAACATGGGGGTACAGGTATCTTTTTCAATCAGTGTTTTTGTGTCTCTTGGGTAGATACTTAGGAGTGGGATTGCTGGGTCATAGGGAAGCTCCATGTGTAGCAGTTTGAGGAACCTAAACAGTTTTCCATAGTGGTTGTACTAGTTTGCATTCCCACCAGCAATGCAGGAGAGTTCCTTTTTCTCTACATCCTCACCAACATTTGTTGTTGCTAGTTGTTTGAAGATGTGAATATGGCTGTCTTCTTAATCAGAGATGTTTTGTTTAAATTCATTTTGTTCTCTGGTCTTTGAACTGAGTGATTGTTTTCTGTTTTCTTTTTATAAAGGGGAGAAGGATCTTTTTTTAATTCCCAGAAGCCTCTTGCCTGTTATCTGTTTTTATTTAATGGATGCAGTATCTTAATTACTGGTCAAGATTCCAGTTAAGAGTTTTTTGTTATCAGTACAAAAATCCTGTATTAAATCCTTCATTAATAACACTTCATGTCACTTGTCCTACTCTTCAGGTTGGTGCCTTTCTTTCAGATTGCCAGCTTTCTTCAGATAATAAATATGGTGTTGGGTCCTTTGCCTGGACAGACCTCCCCACCTCCCCCACAGAATCATATGCACACTGTTGTGTGGAAACAAAGAATGAGCCATGGGTGCTGGAACAGAAAAACAGGAGGCAGGAAGTGTTCCTGCCTTGTGTTTGCTACCTTGTGTTCTTAACCCCCATGTTATTGTCACATGTTATTGATGTACTTGCTGAGAGCTTCTGCCTACCCCCAGCCCCAGGCTCCATGCTGAAGGGTATAAATAGGGAAGGAGAGAAAAATAAAGGGTGCCTTTGCTTGCTGACCAAGAAGTGTGTGCTTTAATCCTGACGTCCTTCGCTCAGACCATCTCTGCTGTCGTGCTGGCGCGGCAAACGGTAATACTAGTTACCTGCTCATTCATAGATGAGCTGTTGATCAGTGTCAGTTGTTGATAATGAGTTTTCCTTAGCAATTGTCACTCCTCTCTTCCCTGGCTTCCCCCTTCCTTGTTTGCACATGTGTGCTCTGCCAGTGGGGAGGCCCTGGCAGGTGTACTTCACAACTCCTGAGTGAAAGGAAGAGATTGTGTCATGAACTTTTGCTGCTACAGTGAGTTACATTTAAAAAGTCTTCATTTCCACTTTGGTTCTGGCATCCACACTAATCGACCATCAAAGCAGGCCTTCTGTCTAAGAGAATGTTCTTTATTAGCTTTAATTAGCACAAATAATCCAGCCAGCTCTATAGGCTGTAGGGGAACTTGTTTTTTGAACTTTGTCAAAACTAGGTATGAAGGCCCTTACTTAAAACCCAGTCAGATCCATTGTGAAAGAGTGTTAAATTGTGCCTTATAGAAAATTGTGGTAATATGTAATAAAGTTTGTGAAATAGTGATCATTTTATAACTAACTTTGGAGAAGTGTCTTTAAAATACATGTGACTTTTCTCAATATAAGACAATTAAGTTTATGCAAAGATTTAGCCATTTTAAAGTTTATAAGGTAAATATTTTGAGGAATAAGTATTGGGATATTTATTTTAAAGGACAAAATAAAGGTCACTGACTTACATATAACATTTGTATAATTTTTTTATTTGAAATTAGGTTATGTTTAAATTCTTCAGTGTTGCTTTGTTTAAAGGTGTCTGTTAAATCAAATTATTCAAAAGTGATTCTTTTCAAAAAGCTAAAAAAAATTACAAAGCTGTATTTAAAATAGATATTTTAATTTTAATAAGCTCTGCTATTGGGACTGCAGTGATAGTTTTCCCTGGAGTCTCCCTGTACTGAGTGTGTGTTTACTTGTTCCAGAAAGCCTCAGCAAATTCTATTTCTTTGCAGAATGGGATAACAGAAGAAGTGACTTCAGAAGAAGAGGAAGAGGAAGAAATGGGTGAAGTAGGTATTTCATATGATAATAACATTTTGTTTATATCTTTATTTTTTAACACTGTAGACCTTCTCTAAAAAGATTTTGTGAACCAGTGTTATTGTAGCACAATGAAAAGCACATTGTACTTAGAACTGAGTAGAGCTTAAAATCTGGCTGTACTTATAGTTTGCTTACCTACTGTCCTTGAATTTAATTTTATGGAAAATAAGAGATCTTACTTTTAGCACTAAATTTGTACTTATGTTTAATAGTAACCAGTATTAACCTATAACTTAACCTTGATTTGGTTGTATTTAAGAGGGCAACCTAGTTCCAGAGGTTGAGCATTTGAAGGAAAAGAGAATCTTAAAACTTTTCAGATATACCTCAGCATAAGAAATGGAACTTATTGAAAATTCATCTAAGAATTCCAAAGACATGAGCTTAAGGCCAGTTTATTTGATAGAATTTTGGGGGCATTCGGACTCTGAAGCCTTGAATTTAAATTACACTTCAGAATGAAGATCTATGAGTCTTTATATTGACCAGATAAAAGGTGTTTGAATTCTGCAGTCTTGGCTTTAAAAAATGTCTTTGCTGTTTTAAATCTTAGAATTAAGTAAGGTTATTACATTAATTTCTTGAATTTGAAAATTTATCTAAAACATTTAGATAGAACTAAAAAACTACCTTTGGCTTGGTTTTGTGAATCTGGGAGTAAAATAGTTTTTAATGTCCATTTAGAATGACTTTCTTGTAGCAGAGGTTCTTTTTAATGTTTTCATGCAATTTAACTTGAGTGAAATAACTGCATGAAAACATAAAACCTTTTCCATAGTCCACTGGTAGATGTGTATTCAAAAGTTTATGTAGCTTTTGTTTTTATTTCTTTGCTAGATAATATAAAAAAGGGACAACAACATTTAAGGAAAATCTAGAAAAGTAGGAGACTCAACTTTGTAGATATCAGATTAAGACACATGAAAAGAGGGTATTCTAATGGCTAAAATAATGTGGTTAACCTGGTGAATGGTATGTTTGTGTGCAGTGGATTATAATCTTTGGGGAAAAAATACTGATATGCTTAAGTCACAGAAATTAAAGTTGGCTCAAATAGGCAGATGGTACTCTTGATTAGAGACAAACATGTTTTATATTTGGTGTGATAGTTGACAAGAAGGCCTTAGCAAAGAATAATGTGCTGAGGATATTGTTTTATGAAGATGATAATGAATTGTGTACTTGATGATTAATAACTCCAGTGGAGAAGTTTTATGACTAGGACTTTGAGGTTGAAGGTAGAGGAGAAAGATAAGCCAACTAAGGGCATTTCTCAGAACCCTGAGGAAGACAAGTATAGGATGGAAGATCAGGACTATAAGGTGCAAACTAGGTGAAGGTTGCTCCATGAAGCATGGACTCATGGACAGGGTATGAATAATGAAAAGTAGGAATAGGAGTTGAAGAGATGGCAGTCCAAAAAAAAACCAGATCATTGGGTGTGGATGAAGTGGTCACTAACCTGCTCCAGAAATCAGCAAATTAGTCTGTTTGAAGAATGGAGATAGTACTAACTACTCCTTTAGAAATTTGGTGATTGAAGTAAAGAGAAATAATAGAAAAAGGTTAGGATTTTTAAAATTTTGCATAGATTTATATGCAGGTTAAAGCAGATGATATGTGAACAGAGTGTACAAGGGGATGTGATTAAAGGTGTTGACCTAAATATATATTCATATTCTTTTTTTGCCCTACTTATCAAAATCAACACCCTGCAGAAAATGTGGAAAAGAAAAGGGACTAGAGTTAATTATTACAATTTCGGTATGTGTTCTTCCAGTCTTTTTTTTCTTTGTTTATTTTGGCACAATTGAGATTCTGCATATTCATTTTGTGGTGTGTTTTTCATTTCATTATTAATATAGAAGAAGCCATTATGCTATATTAATATTTAGTAGTCTTCCAGTATTCCATCGAATTGAGTTAACTGTTTTGATATTTTTATACCAGTAGATTTGTGTATGTGTGTGGTTATACATATTTATACCTAAATTTGCATTCACATTTTAGACTAGGTTGGCTTTTTTTTAATGGTCTGTTCTGCTTATTTTTTTTTTTTTTAAGATTTGTTTATTTATGCATACAGAACTGGGGTGCCGGCCAGAGGTGCAGGGTTGTTGAGAGGATTCACCAGAGATAGAGTGGGGAGCAGAACAGGCAGATTGAAGAAGTACACTGCTGAGGTGAGCAGCAGGCAAGACAGGAGAGGTCTGCGGTGCCATGTGGATCACCTCCAGGGCCGGGGGGATCGAACTCACACTGAAGTGGCTATGGCCAGCCTGCAGTGCTGCGTCCCAACCTGCTGTGCCACCAGGGAGGGCCTAGGCTAGGTTTTTTGTTTGTTGTTCATTTTAAACAATGGATTTCTAAAAGTTGAATTGCTGGAACTAGTGGTTCCTCATTAACGTTCTTGATACTTGATGCTAACCTGTTTCAGAACTGTCTTGTAATAGGAGATTGAAAAAATATCTTATTTAGGAATAGTTACAAGTTTATAAAGCTACTACATATTCTTTACTCAAATTCAAGTATTAAACAAAATACAGGATATAAAAAGAGGAAACTGGACTTTTCTTTGTCACCATAGAATCATGTGTTCTCTCTTTTTTTTCCCAGTTAAGAATAGTTTTACTTTTGTCATAAGGTAGAAGAAGCTAACATTTTTCATATTTTTGTAGGATATAGAAGACTTGGATCACTATGAGATGAAGGAAGAAGAGCCTGTTAGTGGGAAAAAGTCAGAAGATGAAGGAATTGAAAAAGAAAATTTGGCAATATTGGAGAAAATTAGAAAGACTCAAAGACAAGATCATCTAAATGTAAGTATGTGTAACTACCTCTAATTTGGACTTTTGTGGTTAAATAATTGAGCTAGCCATCTCAGTGGCCCTTCTCCATTCTGAAAGATTGGCACAAGGAGAAGAAATACAGTGGGAGAGCATTAAGTATCAAGATAAGCACAGTTTATTTGTGCTCTCAGGTGAGGTACAGAGAACTGAGAAAAGGGAGTCCAAGAAGCAATGCCCCCGAGTAGGGTAGGGGGGTTTTTAGGCTCGTCAGCAAAGTGAAAAGTTGTTTTTTTGAATAAGTACAGTTCCGGGAGTTGTTTGTTCCATTACTGCTGATTTATATTGAGGACCTTCTTTCTAGTTCCAGGTGCCTACAGGCGTAGGTACTGAAGTTTCAGTTCCCAGACCCTGAAGTCTTGAATTTAGCCATGTTTTGTCACCCTAGTTTTTCAAACACCTAAGTTTTTTTGTTTGTTTTGTTTTTTAAGATTTATTTATTTGTGCATACAGAACTGGGTACAGGCCAGAGGTAGGTGCAGAGGCGTGAGAGGATTCACCAGAGACAGAGTGGGGAGGAGAATAGGCCAACTGAAAAATTACACTGCTGAGGGGAGCAATGGGCGGGTCAGGAGAGGTCTGCTGCACCATGTGGGTCACCCCCAGGGCAGGGATCAGACTCATGCTGAAGTGGCTTTAGCTTCTTAGTGCTGTGCTTTCACTCATGGCGCCACCAGGGACGGCCAGTTTTTCATCTTTTGATAGCTACTTTTTATCCTGTTCATCTGCTTTTCCCTTCCTGTTATCAACTTCTGTTCCCTGTATTCTTGTTTCCTGTGTTGCTTTCCAACCTGTTTATACTGTTTTCTTTGTTTACCCTCCTCCTATGGCATGCATATATATATTTGTATATATATATAAATTCAGTCTCTCCTACAAAGTACAATTCAAATTGTTCTCTGTGAGGCTACCATCAGGCCTATTTTGCCTGACCAAACCCGAAGTAGCTTTCTCTCATTTTAACAACTCTTTTTATGTGGAACAGCATGGAAGAGCTAACAGAACACTTGAATTGGTAACAGACACCACTATGTGACTTTAGGTTCCTCAACTTTAAATGTGCAATGCATGCTTTTTGAGAGCTGCTCTGAAGAATAAATTGAGAATTATACATACAAACCCCTACACTGAGTAGGAAACCATCAAATGAGAATCAGGCTATCTGTCTCAACACTACTTACTGCCTTATAGTAGAGCTATTTATCAACGCCATGAAATTGAGTACCAGTTCCTTTGTCTTGTGCAAAGGTTTTAAACTAGGAAATGAACTATTATGCAAGGAAATGCTGAGTTTTGTAAACAGGTATATCTCTCCCTCTTTCACTCTTAACTTTCTATTATTAATTTAATTGACAGATTAATTTTTAACCTGTTTTTTTTTAGCCTGTTCTTGATTATTAAAAATAAAATGTGTTGGCATCTAAATTAATGATTCCTAGCATACTTTCTATGGCTTGCAGTTGTTTCGTTTGGTATAATGAAAATGACTACAAATTATTGAACATTCTCACAGATACTGTGTTCAAATAATTTAAAATTTATGTACATTCCCATATAATCATTATAATCACTATGTGCAATATTCTTCCTATTTTATAGATGTAAAACTAAAGTCTAAACCAGTTAAATAGTGGGTTCAAGGTTACCTAGGAGGTAATATCCTTGTAACTTGATTTTTTTCTTTAGAGGGTAATATAAACATCTTAGATTTTACATGATGAGTTTTCTTAGTTAAGACATTGTAAATGTTTTTGTTTTATGATAAATAGTTCCATTGACTGGACTGTATACTGTATTCATCTGTAGAGGAGTTCTAACACTGGTAGGAACTAAAATGTTGTATGCAAGCAATCATGTTTCTCAATTTCTTAATATGTAAAACTGTACCTTCAGGATAACATTCTTATAGTCTGATTATGCAGCTCTCTTTTAGTTGTTAATGTGTCATGGTGAGGATTTTGTAGTATTTTCATAATTCTGTAGAATTCTTACACACATAATAGTATAGACAAAGTCAAGAACACTGACAATACCAAATGCCAGTGTGAATGTTCAACAACATTGCTGATGCAAAATTAAATGCCAAAATGGTACAGTTACTTTGAAAGGCAGTCTCACAGATTCTTACAAAAATAAACATGCTTTTACTATACAGTCCATGTATGTTTGGGATTATCTCCCAAATGAATGGAAAACTTGTATACACATAAAAACCTGCTAATGGGTGCATGTGCAAAAACCTGCAGCTTTATTCATAATTGGCAAAAATTGGAATCAAGTAAAGTATCCTTTAGTAGGACACTAACAATAGTATATTGTTACCTGCTTAAAAAAAAAAAAAGAAATGAGTCCTCAAGCTGTGAAAAGACACGGAAGAACCTTAAGCTCTTATTGCTAAGTGAAAGAGGCAAATCTGAAAAGGCTACAACCCTGTATGTTTCCAACTAAAGACATTCTGGAAAAGGCAAACTGGAAATAATAAAAGGTTTAGTGGATGCCGTGGTTGGAGGAAGGGGAAGGATGATTAGGGCATAGAAGATTTAGGATAGTAAAAATGCTCTATTAGATACTGTAGTGCTGTATATATGTCATTAAACATCAAAAGTGATCCTTAAGTAAATTTTAAGTGAAAATGTGTCAGGTTAGGTTAATCATTTATGAAAAATACACTCTTCTAAGAGGGATTTTGATAATGAGAGCTATTGCATTAACAAAAACATTAATGAAAAGTTTTCAGTTGATGGAATTTGAAATAGACTCATAGTGAATTCTCCGGGCTATAGTGTTCTGGATATATTGGCTATTTTTTCCACATGTTAAGAAATAATAAATGAACCAGACTTGTCCCCAATTTTATATTCTTGTAAAAACTTTCTAATTCTTCATTTAATTGAACTCAGCAGTACTGATTTGTTAGAATGTTAAATGGTGACCCATTTAAAATTTTTTTTACTAGATTCAGTAGCTCCATATTAACAGCAAATTTTATGTTTCAGGGTGCAGTATCTGGGTCTGTGCAAGCTTCAGATAGACTTATGAAAGAGCTCAGGGACATATACAGATCACAGAGTTATAAAACAGGTAAGCATCTCTGATCTTCACCTTCTCTGTTGTGCTTATCCTTTTGTCAATTTTCTAATAATAAAGTTCATTTCTCATACCTTAACTGGACAGAAACAGAAATGTTAACTTTATTTATGTGAAACACAAATTTAATTATGTAATGAGAAAATGTAATGGATAGAATATGATGAGCTTTCTTGGTTTTTCTTTTTAAATTCCTTTTATGACTAGGTCACAATTTTTCTTCTTAGTCATAAGAATTATTTCATGACTTATCTTCTGGGACTAGCACAATATTGGCTTTGAAAGGCAAATAATATGACTATATATATATTTTTAAATATTTTTATTTATTTACTCATACAGAACTGGGGTACAGGCCAGAGGTGCAAGGGCAGTGAGAAGATTCACCAGAGACAGAGTGGGGAGCAGAATAGGCCAACTGACAGAGTACACTGCTGAGGGAAGCAGTAGGCAGGTCAGGAGAGGTTTGCTGCGTCATGTGGGTCACCTCCAGTGCGGGGATTGAACTCATGTGGAAGTGGCTTTTAGCTTCATAATGCTGTGCTTTAACCCGCTGTGCCACCAGGGACGGCCCAAGATGACTCTATATTTTATAAGCAGAATTATGACCAAATTGATTTTGATTATTACTTTTCTTGCTTAAAGAAAAAACATTTTGTGATTATGTTTATCAATTCTTGTTGAAATGGTCCTAAGACAGAGCTGTAGCCTTCCAACGTTAGTGCCCTGGTCAAGCACAGATCGCTGTTTGTGGGTTCTTACCCCTGTATACCATACAAGACCACTCAGACTCAGTGAACAATAGTGGGGTTTATCTAGCTGGGGGAAACAGTTTCCAAGACCACAGGTAGCTCGCTATCTCACCCCAGATAGTGTCCGCATTGTCCAGAAGACCCAAACAAAAGGTTGCTCATTCAAGATGGCAATGTCCCATCAAGAGCCTGGAAGTCATGGCACACCAGGAAGCAGTGGCCAAGATCCAACTCATGGTGACAGCTAGAGTTGCTCAGAGGTAGGGATCACTGAGATCACACCACAGAAGCCCATAGCAGTAGTCTGAAGGCAAGGCTAGACAGCATTGGAAGCTGGACTGAACAGCGACAGAGGCAGTAGCACTGGGAGGCAAGGCTAGACAATCAGAGGTAGTGGAAAGCCCTTCAAGGTGATTCAGACGCACAGTGCCAGTCACCTGTTAACAGTGCTGGACTGCACTAGACAATATTACCAGTTACCACCAGTCACTAGGAGGTGGTGTCTGAGCCATCAGTGTTAACAGTTCTTTGTGAGTTGTTGGCCTACATCAACAACAAAGAGGTCTCCGAGACACTTAAACCCAGTGCCACTGGTGCTCCTTTCAGGCAGTGTCAGAGGTAGGGCCTGAGACTACTGCTAGGCCTCTGGCCTGCTATATAGCTTCTCTTCTTTCTTTGCTGATTGTTCTTTTATAGTCTCCCACCCTGCAAGCTTATTCAGAACATTTTCAATCCTAAGTGACTGGACCTCTTAGAATCAGTCAGCCCATTCTTGATTTTCAACCTGAATTATGAACTAGTAAGCTCTCACACCGTTGTCTATTCTATGATCCACATGGCAAATTTGGTGTCTGCACACAGCCTAACCCTCAGGGCAGGTTCATGGACAAATAGATAATGGACTTGAGAGCCTCATTGGGGCTGGAAACTCTCTGCACCCCGTAGTCCTTCAGTGGGGCCATGAGTATAAGTGTAGAATGTAGAGCTTGGACCTGCAGCAGGACTGCAGGATGGGCTCCACTGGGAGCCCACACTTAGGCCTGGGACAACATGGCCTTCTTTGTTGTCTGCGGGAGCCACAGTGCTGAATCTGCCCCCAGTGGGGCTCCGGGCTTTCCCCTGCATCCCTGAACCTGAGGGCTCCAGGGAAACCTTGCCTCTGAAGTCCCAGTGGGCTACATGGTAGGGAAACCACTGCTGTGCTGTATCACTGCTGGCCTTTACCTGCAGCTTTAGCCTGAGTGGAGCCATTGGGTAAGGTAGTAAAATATCTGCCACTTTCTGATGCTGAGATTATCCCTAAGAAGCTTCCAGAGGTGGTGTTCCCTGTGCTCAAATCTGGTTATGGAGCCTGGACATCACTGAGCCTCCCTGTAGCCATCCTGCAAAGTGGTGGCTTCGGGAAAATTCCCATTTTGTCCTCAGCATTCAAACCTGGCTGGTGCTCAGTGAAAGGGCTATCAGTAGGTAGCTACTCTGGCATGAGCAGTTTACTGCCACCACTTTAATGATTCCACTGCTTAGACAGCTCTGGGAAAAAGCTGATCTTGCCCTGTGGCTTATGCTGCAAAAATCCAGATTCGTTATTGCTCTAAAGTTAGGGGTATTTTTTCCCATTTCATAACTTGATTTTTAAAATGCTCCCTTTTTTACCCAAAAAGACTTAAATATTGTGGAACCTTCCTAGTAGATGTAAAATTCCCTTTTAATTGTTAATTTTTATGACTATTAAATAAGGGAAGGAAGCACTGATTTGTTTGAAAAGATAGAGCAATGATATTTTCAGAAATTCTCAGAGTAATCAAATTTCAATTAGTGTTTGCTAAAATAAAAACTGAAAACAAGCCAACCCTATCCCCCATTCACAGAGAATCCTTATCATTGATGGCTTCAAAATATTTACACATAACTTAGTTTTTCAATGTTTTTAAAAAATATTTATTTTTATATAAATATAAAAAATATTTATTTTTTATATTTATATACAAGAGCTGGGGTCTAGGCCAGGGATGTAGGGCAGTGAGAGGATTCACTGGAGACAAGGTGGGGAGCAGAATAAGCGATTAACTGAAATAAACTGCTGAGGAGAGCAACAGGCAGGATAGGAGAGGTCTGCTGTGCCATATGGATCAATCCCTGGCCAGGGATTAAATTCGTGCTGAAGTAGAGCTTCATAGTGTACCACCAGGGAGGCCCAGTTTTTCCATGTTTTAATAGCAAAATTTTTCTTTTGCTCCTTTTACATCAGAATAATAGTTACAGAATGAAATGAAAAGTAATATGTCCTCTTATCTTTGCAGGAATTTATGCAGTGGAACTCATAAATGACAGTTTGTATGACTGGCATGTTAAACTCCAGAAGTAAGTGGTTTTTAATGCTAATCCACTTCTTTATAATGGTAGACTCTCATAATGGAGATTCCCTGTGCAACAGCTTCTCCCTAGCCCTCATTTGATACTTTTATACTATGTGTTTTTCTTAGAACTTTAGACCCTATTTCTTTAGAATAGTTCTCAAGTTGTTGAGCTTTTCTTAGGCTTACTAATAAGAGAGAAGTTGAATAAGAAGCACCAACATTGGGATACAGTGTTTAATGAGCTAGACAGTTAGTAACTATGTAGATAGTAGGAGGGCTCATCAGTCCCATAGGGAACAACAATCACCTGAGAAAGTGTAGTCTGGCCCATAGGCAGCAGTAGAGTTGGTGCAGTCCCCTGTAAGCCAATACCACACAGCCTGGTGAGTGAAGCATAACAGGTATAGAGAGCAATACCAACACAGGAGGGTACCTTTTGGCCTTACACACAGCACCAGAGACTGCATGACCCCTGGTGGGGCTGTACTGAAACTTCCCAGCCTCCCGAGTGAAACCAAGCAGGTAAGAGAGCCCAGCAGCCCCATGGGGAGCAGTGACCACCTGGGAAAGTACCTTGTGGCCCACACGCAGCACCAGAGACTGTATAAACCCTATCGTGCCAGCATCGACCGCACCCAGCACTATATGTGAAGATGCACACATAGGGGAGAGAGCAGCAGCACACAGACTCAATTACCTCCAGTGCTAGCACTCATCAGCCCATCAGTGGGCTTGAGAAGATTGGTGTAACAGTGCTGGACAGGCTCAGCCACCAGTCCCCAATTTCCCAGTAGGAGCACCTTGAAGGCATGCTACCAGCACCACTGGCACAGTGGCCCTGTGTATAAAACAAATCCAGAAGCAAACCGCATGAAGAAAGAAAATTACAAATAGCCAAGGCAAGCTCTCTGGGGAAAGCATAACCTCAAAAAAGGAAATTAGACCCTAAAACTCAACAACACGGACATGGAAGAATTTCTCTGCCTGACAGAAAAGGAATTCAGAATCACCATAATTGAAAAATTTAAAGAACAAGTAGAAAATAATGATATGAGAAATATAATAAATGAACAGAAGAATGAAAATAAGTTGTTAAAGAAGGAAATAAAGGGGACTGACATCACCAAGAAGGCAACAAAGGGCCCCTAAGTAGCGTTTTCTCCCACAAAAGTAATTCACAGGGACTAGTAGCAGACATTTCCCAACACTGGACAGCGGTTGATGTCCTAATTAAAGCAGAGGAAAGGTGAAGGAGGAACATGCAAAAATACGGGACAAGGGGGAAAAAAGAGATTTGGCCACTGGCAATCCTTCTACCTGGTCCCTGCCCCTACCCACAAAGCCAGCATAATTCACCCAAGGGCAGAGAAGGAAAGTTCGGAGGCCACGGAAGAATCCTGGGATATCAGAAGGCTACAGAAAATAACAGGTTGGCAAGTGGGGTCAGCAGTGCTGCTGCAGCTCAGGGCTGTCTGGCAGGGGGTTTGCTAGGGAGCTCTTCCTTGTTGGCATTCCCCTTCCTCTCTTTCTCCAGAGATTTGAGTGAATTAACCCAGATCTGAAGACCTACTAAGAGACATCTTGGGCACACCTAGTGACCAGAACAAAACTACCAGCCATATTGACCTGTACATGGGAGGTTATTGCAGGAAGAACATACCATTTAACCACCAGAGGGAAAACCATCAGCAGGAGCCTTGTAAGGACAATCCCTACATTGGGGGCCTCTAGATGCCACAAGCCTGCAAGTGGAAAGAGAACTCAGAAGCCCCATGTTTTCCCAACTGCCTCAGGGAACTAGAAAGAAGCAAAACCCAAAACTCTATTGGGGGAATTTCAGACTGTTGGGCATGCCACAATTTATGACTAGCCTTTCAGAGTGCATACTGTATCCACCAAAAAGGGAGACTGCAAACTTTGGGAAGACTGTTGTACCCAGTCATAGAGCACTCCCCTGTGGACCAGACTAAAACATCAAGGACTAATCAACTGGGAGTATTCAGAGGTCTGAGAAGCAATTCTTCCCAACCCATTGATGTGTTTGTTCATTTGTTTCTTTTGTTATTGGTCAACTGGTGGTCTGTGCCTATTGATGTGTTTGTTCATGTGTGTGTTTTGTTTTGTTATTGGTTAGCTGGTGGTCTGTGTACTTCCTTCTTTTTTAACCTCAATTTTCTGTCTCATCTAGTTTTCTCCTTATCCCCATTCAACATTACTATTACTGCTTTTCTTCTCTGTCACTCTGTCACTTTCCCTCCATTTCCCCCTCGTCTTGCTAGTTCTCCATATAACCTTCACTTCACCTTCCTTCCCTTCACATCTCCATAACATCCCCCTCTTTTAAAACCCTTACGTCTTCTCTTATTCCTTCTGTCTTTTAACTCTGGTGTTCTTCTGAGACACACCTAGAGGGATCTAGAAGTTCAACTGAGAAAATCATTCCATCCAGATATCTCTTGCAGCCTCCACAGACTAGGCCTCAATGTGTCTCTGGAGAATCAGGACCCCACACGAGACCCTTGGCTTCTACTGGGTGAGACAACAGATCCCATTTCATGCAGAGAGGGTGAGAAAAGCAGGGAATCATGGAACAAAGCACAGCTCAGAACATCTTCCAAAACCAAAGTGTCTGGACTTGTACCCCGTCACAGTGGCTCAGACACCAGGCAGACATATCCAAACCACAGCAAGAGAAATCAGAGGCCATGCCCATCAGCACCAGTAGCACAGGAGTACTTAGAACAGAGAAAAGTCAAAGGCAGGGAAAGAAAAAATTTCAAGTGATCAGGCAGGCCATTCCAGAAACAGTATACCATTGAAAGAAAGTCATACTCCAGAAATCAGTAATATGGACACAGAGAAATATCTCCACCTAACAGACAAAGAATTTAAAAAGACCATGGTGGAAACAAAGAGCTAAAAGAACAAGTGGAAAGAGACAAGAATTCAGAGAACTGAGGAAGAAATTGAGGGAACTGTAGGATAATCAAAGACATGTGGAAGAGCTCAAGAACTCTGGGAAAAGCCATGAAAATAGAATAGAAGAAATGGAAGAACAAATCAGTATTCTTGAATATTCAGATATAAAACAAACCAAAAAAGTAAAGGAAAGAGAACTACAAAGGAAAAAGATTGAAAAACACTTCAAGAAATTTCAGGTCCCACAAGGAAAAGAAATGAGTCATAGGTGCCTCAAGGGGTGAAGAGAGAGAGCAGGGAGCCAAAACACTGTTCAAGGATATAATTGAAGAGCACTTCCCAAACATGAAGACAGAAATAAAAATAGAAATACAAAAGTTCAGAATAACATCAAACCACCACAATGAAAAGAAAGCTACAGCAGGACACATAATAGTAAAATTTCCAAACATCCAAGACAAGGAAAAAATGATGAAACTGACAAGAGGGAAAAAACAGATAACATAGAATGCAATCAGATGATACCAGGTTGAAGAGAATGGAGGAACATACTCAAAAGCAAACTCCAGGTCAACAAATTCCAAACAAGAATACTCTACCCTGAGAAGTTCTCCTTCCTCTACAATGGAAAAATTAAAACTTTCCGTGAAAAATAAAATCTCCAGAAATTCATCACCACTAAACCCCCATTCCAAGAATTACCACAAGGAACCCTAAAACTAAAACCAAGCAAGAGAGGAGTAAGTAGGATGAACAGAATAAGGAAAGGAATAGAATCACCAAAAGACAAAACAAACAAAAAAAGGTGCCAGTATGTCAATATTGACTCTGAAAGTAAGTGATCTGAAGTCATCAATAAAAGAGACACAGAATCACAGGCTGCATAAAAAACCAGAACCCAGCCATTAGCTGTCTGTAGGAAACACAATGAACTAAAAAAGATAAACATAGATTGAAAATAAACAAATGTAAAACAATCCTAAAAGCAAATGGACCAAAAAAAAAAAAAAAGAAGGCAGGGACAGGTATCATATCAGATAAAATAAACTACAAACTAAAAAAGGTAGAGACATAGACAGTCACTACATTATGATTGAGGGGACAAGCCAGTATCATTCTTAATGGTGGGAGACTAAAATTGTTCCCTTTTACATCTAGTGCAAGACCAGGATGTCTTACTGTCACCATTGTTTTTCACTATAATACTGTAAGTCCTACCTAGAGCAATTAGACAAAAGAAAGACATAAGAGGAATCAAAATAGAAAAAGAAGTGAAACTGTCACTAGTTATGGATGGTATGGTAATATATACAGAGAACCCTAAAAATTCCACAGGGAAACTAGTTAAAACAATAAATCAGTTTAGTAAATTAAATTATAAATTCAACAAACAAAAACCAGTAGCCTTCTGATATGCAAATAGTTTATCTGAAGAAGAAATCAAGAAAACCATCCCATTCACTATTGTACAAAAAAATGTAATACCTGGGCATAAGCCTCACAAAGAAGGTGAAAGACATACACAAAACTACAAAACATTGATAAAAGAAATAAAAGATGATACAAAAGACTATCCTTGTTCATGAATCAGCAAAATTAACCTTATCAAAATAGCCATCCTACCAAAGTCAATTTACAGATTCAGTGCAATTCCAATAAAAATCTCAATCTCTTACTTCAATGAACTAGAAAAAAATATGTGGAACCAACACCAAAAAAAAAAAAAAAAAAAACCCTCAAATAGTCAGAGCTCTTCTAGCTAAAAGAAACATGGAAGTATTATACTCCCAGATGTCAACCATAGCAATTAAAACAGCATGGTACTGGAACAAACACACATACACACACACACACAGTGGACTCAAATTGAAAGCCCAGACATAAAGCCATGCATATACAGAAAACCAATCTATGACAAAGAACCAAGATTACATATTCAAGCAAGTACAGTCTCTTCAGTAAATTGTGCTGGGGAAACTGGACTACTCCATTTAAAAGTGAAACTAGACTACTACTTCACACCATAAAAAAGACCAACTCAAAATGTATAAAAACCTGAATGTAATAACCTCAAACCACAAAATACATAGAACAAAACAGAAAACACTCCATGACATACACCTCAGAAACATCTCCAGAAGTAAAGAAAATGAAGGAAAAGGAAAAGATAAATAGCTGTGACTATATCAAACTGCAAACTTATGTACAGCAAAAGAGACAGTAACCAGAACAAGGAGGAACCCTGCAGATCGGAAGGAAATACTTGCACTGCATACAACTTACAAAGGACTGATATCAAAGATCTAACACAACCAAACAAAAACAAAATAATCCAGTTAAATATTGGACAGAATAGCGAAGAAAAGATACTTCTCCAAAGAGGAAATGCAAATAGCCAACAGGCATATGAAAAAATACTCAACATCATTTATAATACAGGAAATGCAAATCAATACCACAGTGTACCTTGATCCTTTGTCATAGATTGGTTGTACGTATATGTATGGCTTTATGTACCACCTCACATCAGTAATAATACTCTGCATTAAAGAAGTAAGCTGACAATAACAAATGCTGGTGAGGATGTGGAGAAAAAGGAACTCTTTCACATTGTTGGTGAAAATACAAACTGGTCCAATCATTACGGAAAGTTGTGTGAAGAACCTTTAAAATATTAAAGATGTATATACCTTATGCCCTAGTAGTTCCACTCATTCTACACAAAGGACACAAAAAATTTGTTCAAAAGGAAACCTGTATTCCTAAGCTTATTGTAGCACTCTTTACAATATCCAAGCTATGAAAACTAACTGCCTCAAAACATGACTGGATCAAGAAAATATAGTGTATGTACACAGTGGAATCCTACTCAGCAAACAAAAATGATAATCATGCCATTCACAGCAGCATGAATGGAAGGGATTATGTTCAGTGAAAATTTTCAGAAGGCAAAAGAAAAATATCAGATGGTTTTACTCACAGTAGGAGTATAGTGAAGCAGCAAGAAGTCGGGTGGAGGAGGGGAAGACAAAACTAGTAAGCTAACTATACAACTGAGACATACCACAGGAGAGGGATAGAGAGAAGGGTCACAAAAAATTGGAGGGAAGAGCACAGAAGACTATGGTGAAGGTTCAGAGTGTTTTGGTGGTGGGATTTTATGGGGATCATATACAAATATTACATAAATGTGCACAGTGTAAAAAAATAAATAATAAACAAGGCTATACTTAATAACCTGGTGAGCTTGATGTGGTAACTAGTTTTTATTTGAAATAAAAGTTAGAGGTGAATATTTAGCACACTTTGGCAAATTTAGATTTTCTTATTTCATTTTTTTCTGATCCCACCTGTGGTAAATATCTCCTTTAGGAACTGAGTGACAAATCTAATTTTGGAGAAACAGTATATGAGATTGAGGTAAAATATGTTCATGAAACTATTTCATTTATGATGAATGCCTAATTTTAATTCTACTTTAGGAGAATAGATTTAAACAATGATGTCTTTTTGGTCTGTGGAGGCTGTAGTGATTTGTTTTTCCAGGGGATCATAGAGCTATTTGACCTCTCTTTTTGGAACCTAACTGTAGGGCTTTTGTTTTGTAGTTCTGATTCAACTGGTTCATTTTGAGCTTAGTAAGAAAAAGTCTCTGTGACACTCCTGCTTGAATGATTTTTTTGTTATAATTCATAGGGTCGATCCTGATAGCCCTTTGCACAGTGATCTTCAGATCTTGAAAGAAAAAGAAGGCATAGAATATATATTGCTTAATTTCTCTTTTAAGGTAAGACAATCGTAAGGGTACTTTGTATGCTTCCAATGGGAATGTCTGTACAGCTGCTTTGGAAACAATTTGTTATTACTTGGTAAAGTAGATGGTAACTCATATCCTATGGATCAGGAATACTACTGATCCGTATCTTGCAAGAGATCAGCACTTAGGTATAAGAGGATACCTATACTAGAATGTTAGAGTAGCATTGTTTCTAATAGTTCAAACAGAGTGTAATCCAAGTGTTTTATCTCAGTAAAGTGGAGATTTGTAGTAGTCATAGAGTGGAATAGAGCTATATGCAGATGGCTGTATCTTAAACACAATGTTGAGCAAAAGAAACCATATCCTATTGAAAAATAATCAAATATCTCCCACAAATTAAAAGCCCAGTTCCACTTGGTGTTTCAAGTAAATTTTATCTCTAGCCTCTAAAGGAGGTATTACATCCATTTTGCTCAAATTATTGCTAAAACTCCAACTAGAGGGTCTATTTCTAAGACATCATGTCAACATTACTTCAATACCCAAAAACAAAGATACCAAAAAAAAAAAAAGAAAGAAAACTGCACACCAATATTTCAGATGAATAATGATGCAACATTCCTCAGCAAAATCTAGCAAGTTGAATTCAGCAGCACATTAGAAGGACCATAAACCATAACCAGGTGGAATTTATTTTTGGGATTCAAAGGTAGTTTGACATATGCAAATGAATCAATGTACTACATTACATCCAGAAAAGAAAGGATAGAAACTACATGATAATCTATAGATTCAGAGAAATCATGTGATACACTACTAATTTATGATATGAACTAAATAGTAGTAGAAGGGATCTATCTCAACATAATAAATCACAAACTTACAGCCAATATAATAATTTATGAAAAACTGAAAGCTTTTCTTTTAAGATCAGGAACAAGAAAAGGATGCCCACTGTCAGCACCTCTGTTTAATTTAATTTAGCTGGAGCATTCAGACAACTGGAGGTTTAAAGAATCCAGATTTGAAGTTAAACTGTCATTATTAGCAGATAATATGACACATATAGAAAACCCTAAAGGCTATGTCAAAAAGCTAGTAGAAATGATCAGTGACAGTAAAGTGGCAGGTTACACAATTAACACATAAAAATTTGATTCATATATATATACATAAAAGTAAAAAGTGGGAAGAAAATGAAATGAAGAAAAACATTTCATTTATAATTACATCAAAAAGAATTAAATACTTGGGCTCTTCTTGGTGGTGCAGTGGGTTAAAGCACAGCACTACGAAACTAAAGCCACTTCAGCATGAGTTCAATCCCCACCCCGGAGGTGATTCACATGGTGAAGCAGACCTCTCCTGACCTGCCTGCCGCTCCCCTCAGCAGTATACTTCGTTGATCTGTCTGTTCTGCTCCCCACTCTCTCTCTAGTGAATCCTCTCACTTCCTCTGCACCCTAGTTCTGTATGCATAAATAAATAAATCTTTAAAAAAAAATTAAATACTTAAGAGCTAACTTAGCCAAGAGGCCAAGTATTTATAAAATGAAAACTGTAAGACTACCAAAAGATACAAAACAAGATATAAAGAGACAAAAATATATCATGTTCATGGATGGAGTTTAATTTACTATAGAATTAAAATAACTAGAGAGTCATATATAGATGGGGATTTCAGCACTCTCCATTGAAATTTCAGTGATATTTTTCAAAGAAATAGGATTTTAAAATCCTAGAATTTGGCCCTCCCTGGTGGCGCAACGGGTTAAAACACAGCATTAAGAGGCTGAAGCCACTTCTGCATGAGTTCGATTCCCGCCTGCCCCGGAAATGACCACATGGCGTGGCAGACCTCTCCTGACCTGCCCGCTGCTCCCCTCAGCAGTGTACTTCGTCTGCTCCCCACTCTGTCTCTGGTGAAGCCTCTCGCCGCCCCTGAGTCTCTGGCCTGTACCCCAGTTCTGTATGTACGAATAAATAAATCTTTAGAAAAAAAAAAAATCCTTGAATTTATAGGGAATTATAAAACTCCCTAGATAGCTAAAGTAGTTTTGAGAAGAAAAGGTTGAAAAATGGAGGCATCATGTTACCTGATTTTAAAATTGTATTAATAAAGCAACAGTAATTTTTAAAATATGGTGTTAGAATAAAGTAGATTGGTCACTGGGACAGAATTGAAAGCTCAGAAATAAACTTACACATATATCAACACCTGTTTATGACAAAGTAGTTATGACTGGGAAAAGTGGAAAAAGTATCACTAACTGGTGCTGGGAAAACTGGTCAAACATGTGAAAAAAAAAATGGTGCTCTAACTCAGCACACAAAAATGAATTCAAAATGGATTGAAGATTTATGGAAGAAAACATTGGTGATATGTTCCGTGTTATCAGTGATAGAGATGGTTCTATGGATTGAACCTTGCAGCAAGGGAAGTAAAAGCAAAAATAACTGAGACTTCCTTAAATCAAAGCACTTCTACAAAGAGAAAGTATTAGCAGATTAAAAAGACATTCTAAATGGGAGAAATATCCACACATCACACAGCTGACAAGTGGTCACTATGCAAGTTATACAAAGAACTCATCCAACTTTAAAAAACAAGTAACCCAGCTAAATGGACAGTAAATCTGGAGATCTGAAGTTTACTAAAGAGGATTAGGTATCAAGGCAAACAGATTAGGTATGAAAAAATACTCATGATTTCTAGTAAGGAAAATGCAAGGTAAAACTAAAGTGAGTTATCCTGCACTGGTAAAAATGGCATATGCCAAATAAATGGGAGGGAAAAAAAAACAGCCTCCCAACATGTACTGAAGGGGATGTAAAGAAAGAGGAACTTTTTGGCGTAAGTTCGATCCCCATACCGTAGGTGATCCCAAATGGTGCAGCAGACCTTTCCTGACCCACCCACTGCTCCCCTCAGCAGTGTACTTTGTCAGTCGACCTGTTTTGCTCCCCTCTGTCTCTGGTGAATTTTCTTACCACCCCAGCACCTCCGGCCTGTACCTAGTTCTGTATGCACAAAATGAAAGGAAATGGGGTTATGCAAAGTGATGTAAGCTGGAAAGGTAAAGACAAATATTGGATGGTTTCACATATATATGTGTGTGTGTATAGGAATGAGCTAACAAAGGCAAAATAATCAAAACAACAGATATTGGTAACTGAACTCAGGATTCTGACTTTAAGACAGAAAGGGAAAGATTGAACAGTAAGCAATTTTAAAAAAAAAATGGTGGTGGAGAAAACAAATCTCTTTCAAAAATTTATCATTTAAAGAAAAACAAAATCCCAAAATGTTTTTATATAGATATTAAGTGTTGTAAAACTAAATTTGTTTTACAATAATTCTTTTAGTATTTCTATCAAGACTGGTTTGATGGTGATATTTTTTCCTCTTATTTATATATTTTATTTATTTATCAAAGATTTATTTATTTATGCATACAAGAACTGGGTACAGGCCAGAGGTATGGGGGTGAGTGGATTTACCAGAGACAGATTGGGGAGCAGACAGGCACACTGACAAAGTACACTGCTGAGGAGAGCAATGGGAGAGATAGAAGAGGTCTGCCGCACCATGTGGATCACCTCCTTGGCTGGGGATTGACCTCGTGCTACGGTGGCTGCAGACAGCTTCATAGTGCTGTGCTTTAAACCTTTGTGCCACCAGTGAGGGCCCTAATTTTATTTATTTTTAGCTGAGGTAATAATGGATAGCACATCAAGTTTTGCCAACATAGTGCACTCCATAATCGGCTGTGCTTCCTTCCTTTTTATTCTTATCCCTATGTCACCCCTCCCCTGCCCCTATGGATGCTTCTGTTCTGTAGTCAGCTTTCAAGGGTTAGATTTGCAGCTTGTTGACCCTTTGTTTAGTTACTGTATATTCTATATATTAGTGACACCAGAAAGGGAAGTATTTACCTTTCTCATTCTGACTTGTTTCGGTTAGCACTGTCCTTCCCAGCTCCATCCATTTTGCTGCAGATAACAATGCATTTAACTTTTTTGATTACTGAATAATATTCCATTGTGTATATATACCATATCTTCTTGATCTTCTCATTTGTTTTGGGACATTTAGGCTGTTTCCAAAATCTGACTATAAAGATTTATTAAAAAGATTTATTTATTTATGCATACAAGAGCAGGGTTATAAGCCAGAGGGTGAGAGGTTTCACCAGAGACAGTGGGGAGCAGCAGAACAGGCACAGATGGAGTAAGATACACTCCTGAGGGGAACAGTGGGTGGGCCAGAAGAGGTCTGCCAAGCTATGTGGGTCAGCTTCCTGGTCAGGAATCAAACTTATGCTGCAGTGGTTGGGAATAGCTTCATAGTGCTGTGCTTTAACCTGTTGCATCACCAGGGAGGGCCCCTTTTTTGAATTTTTGGCATAGAGATCTAAGAGTAGAATTACTGGGTCATCTGGCAGATCCATTTTCAATGTTTGTGGCACATCCGTACTACTTTCTATTTTTTGGCTGGACTTGGCTACATTCCTGCTAGCAGTGTAGGAAGGTTCCCTTTTATCCACATCCTCATTAGCACGTGTTTCTAGTCTTTTCAATATAAGCCATTCTCACAAATTTGAGATGGTATCTCATAGTGGCCATGATTTGCATTTCTATAAGTACTTGGGAGCATTTTTTTATGTATCTGTAGTGTTCTGCCTTCATGGGAGAAATATTTAATTTTTTTATCCACTTTTCAATTTGGGTTGTTTTCTTTTTGTTGAGTTGTATGAGTTTTTGTAGATCTTCGATATTAGTTCTTTTTTAGATGTGTGATGTGCAAATACTTTCTCCAGTTCAGTCTGGTGTCTTTTTATTTTAGTTATATTTCTTTCACCATGTAGAGCTTTTTGCTATAGTTTGATGTAGTCCCAGTTTATTTTCTCTTGTTTTCCTTGCTGTTGAGGATGAATCCCTAAAGATGTGGTGATTTATTCTTTTGTTTTTCTATAAAACTCTTGATTCCTCCTCCAGTCGAGAATTCTAGTCTGGTTGGACAAAGT